AGGCTAGTGTGCGGCTCTGCAAACGTTGGCAACTCAATCAGCCATTTTTTCATTCGCACTGCAAAGTCCATTTCGGGCAGCAAAGTTTCGTTTCGGAATTATACGCGTGGCCGAATTCCAAGAGTCATCGGAGCGGATTGATTAAAACTTTCGACGATGTTCTCCGTCGCATTAATGTCGTGGAGTATTCGAGCCGCGTGCCAAAAGCGCAGTGAAACGGAGACGCAGGCTCTGAAAAACGGCACGCCAAGAGACAGTATCCCCGGCACCGTAACGCAGTGTACGACGTCTTCGCGAACTGGTCGGATAAAAAATAGTGGCATAAATCCCGCAGGAAATCGATCTGGCGTCCTTCTTTCTCCCGGGCTTTCCCCCCCGTCATCCTTCTACCCATCTTGACACACGTGAGATTTACTCGCGGCCAGGAACCAATTTCACCTCTCCATCCGTCATATATCCACCTGATTAGGCGATTTGTTGCAGCCGGGTATTCCGAGGGGATACGGTGTGTCGTCCCGACACCGACGCCAACGCCGACGCCGACGTCGACGACTCTTTCGAAATCGGCACCACGACTTCACGCGTCCGTACGCCCATTATTTTATAAGTTGTGTGTTCAGTTGTTTGCCCGTACTTTCCGCTTATTCATGAATTCGTTGATCTCTATCTAGATTGAAACTTGCGGAATAATCTCTCATGGAATAATCTTCTCCCGAATAATAACCGAATATCTTACATTGGGAGAAAAGTTCTTCTTAGTATCTGTAATTATAATTGCATGGTAAAATCGTGGTTAAAGACTCCATTTCTACAGTTATTACTGCTAAAATGTTAGTGATAATAATTATATTTGTAGTTTTACATTCATCAGAAAATATATAACTGCAAATAACTATAATTTATAGTCATTTTCGATATCGACTTATAAATATATTTTTCTATGCAGAACTAAAGATATAATTGTTATTACTAATATTAGAGCAATAACAACTGTAAAAATGGTGCCCCTAACTATAATTAATTTATCATAGAATTACAGACACAAATATCATTTTTTTCTTAGTGTGATAATTAAGCAAAGTCGAGAGTAAAGTATGGGAAATCTCGAAAAATTAGAATAGTAATCAACTTGCGAAATACGGACCTGTATTTAGCTGCAAATTTCAAGGATTTATGATAAATACTAGAAGGGTGGATTAACCAGCACTGAAATTCTGTAACTCTTAACAAGTGTTAATATTATTACATTATTGTTGTACAAGTATTATACATATATAGTAAAAAAGCTATGCAACAACTATATAATGACATTGTCGTTAAGAGTTACAGAATCTCAGTGCTGAAATTGTTTTACTGGCACAAAGTTATCTCCAATTAATCTTAGAGTATAAATTTCTCGCAATGTAACGTACGCTGTGATGCCCGCGCATCGCATTCTGATTATATTATTCAAAATTATTATACTGCACTGTTACGTTGTATACTATATATATATATGTATATATTTCGAATGTGTGTGCAATAATAACGTTAAATCTAATTAACGAAATATCGTTATTCTAACAAGAGAACTTGGACATGTTATTACTCGAGCTTTGAATGAAATTTGTTACACCAAAATACCACTAACTTTAGATTTAATTTTTTGTTGGCCATATTTGATACATGAAAAGAACAGTTTTGCTGAAATATCGAAAAACTTAACTAAATATACATCTGAAAATTTTGTTGGATCAACAAAACAATTATGAAAACTGATTGCTAGAATATCAAAATTGTTTGCAGCATTGTTTAAGTTTTCTATGTACAACTATTTTTATTGTCTAATAACATTATTTCCAAATCTGTATCTAATTAAATTTTAGCAAAATTGTTCTTTCCGTATAATGAAGTTAAGTGTGTGCGTCACAGCAAAGAAGAACTTTAAGAGTGTCTGAGAAAGTAATGAACAAAGAAAACATCAACATATTATATTATTACTCGAGCTTCAAACCAAATTTGTTGTACCAACATGCCACTAACTTTGATTTTATTCCTTACATTGGCCGTATTTGATAATAAAGTTAAGTTTGCGCCACAGCAGAGAAAGACTTTAAGAATGTCTGAGAAAGTAATCAACCGGCGCGCTAGTATTAAATCCCGTGGGATTCTGGCTTTGCGTTGAATATCTTTTCAAACTCTAAACTCGTCCTAAATCCGCTTTATATCTATGGCACAATGTTAAGTCTATTAGAAGCTTATGCGGCATGAATCATCATAAATTATCAGCCGCGAATGTTACAGTATCCAAGAAAATGAGACAAACGTCGAGAATAATCCGATTTGGCGATCAGCAAAGATACAAATTCGATGAAACAAATCGAATGTCCAGAGTGTCATATGAATTAATTAACTCAAAACATACCCGGATTTCAGACATGGAATAGCAATGTGAAATTGCGTTTGCATCCGTCCCACATCTATCCGTTTGAGATGTGAATTTGTCCTGCAAATTACATTATGTACACAAGGCACGGCCTCTGATAGACGATGTGAGTATTCCAGCCGAAGGCACAACGCGAGAGCATGCATTCCGGGCGCGGCCGTGCTAGTAAAATTTAGACAGCCAAGTTTCAGGATACGCCGAATTGCTGCAACCAGCGCGCGTCGACGACGACTGGGACGGGCGAGCCCGGGGACTCGTCCCGTCGCGTCGGTCGGTCTCTCATCTCGTCTCGTGCGCGAGTACGCAATCCCAAAATATTCCGGAGTGGCGATATTTTCTGGACATACAGGGCGACCGACAACTGGCCGCCCGTACACGGGCTGCGTGCGTCCGGGCAATTTACAGCGGCGGCTTTTTGAATTCAGCAGTGCCCAACCGAGCGCAGAATTTTAAACAATTTGCCGCGTGACATGCCGACAGTTCCTACAAAGCCCGCGAAATCTGTACGAGTTTTCTGTATTGGGAACGAACATAAAGATAAATGAGTAAAGGATATTTAGGTATTCATACAGCGTACCCACATTTAATGCTAAATATGATGCGTACGCGCATCTACGAATGAATGTATGTTATCGCGTTCTCATGTCACTGCGTCCGAAATTTCTATACCTCTCAGAAAAGATGGCACGACTAACGTCAATCGTGTATCTTTCATCAAAATATCTCCCTAATTGATGTCAATTATTGCGAATTAGTATCATTGCCATCAGGCAAATCTCGACTCTATTTGACAACACCGAATATAGTAGAACAAATTGCTTGCTTGCTGCTTTAGAAATTGAAACATCTGCTTGAAACTGATTTATACACTTGATATTATTTATTGTTATTTTCACGATACGATAGCAACCGAATCTAATATAAGTACGTTGAATACGTTCGGGCACTTCACGAGACGTAATCAAAGAAACAATGGCACAAATCTAACTCCAGACTTTGAATGACTGGAAATGCACTTTGGTTCTGTTCAGATTTCCACAGAAAGAATGCTAAAACATTCAAAAATTTAGATACAGATCTAAAAATCATTTTATTGGACCATCAAAATATTTGTGTAGAAAACTCAAGCATTATTAGCAATGCCGCAAAGAAATTTGATATTCTAACAGTCAGTTTTAGTGTTCTTATTTTGATGGTCTAATAAAATTTATTTTCAGATTTATGTGGCTATTTGTAGATATCTACTGCAAAATCGGTTTTTCCATGCATTTAGTGCCACTCAAGCGTCACTTTATCCTTGATATCGTTAACCAACAATTTTGCCTAAGAAAAAAAGAACATACTTCATATACGGGATTGTAGAAATTTTGATACAAAATGATCCTTTCAGCAGAGCTCGATTTCGATCGATCTTTTTTTAAATACGACAAATACGAGTACGTGTCATAACAGAGTTCGCCCAGGTATACATTGTTGCGAATGTAACAATCGGAATACGTATTCTCTCGAACGGTGTCGTGCTCAGCGCAAAACTGAAAATACGCACGCGAATTCGGCACGAGTTTTTTTTACAGTCGGCAAAATGTCATCTCGGTGACAAAATCTGGTAAAATCTGATATATCTGCGAAGCGTGGTCAAATAAGTGAGCAGATAAATCTTCGGTTCGTGTATTACAATCGAAACTTTTATAGTATATATAATATTTCATCAGTAGAGTTGTGCGCACGATTTATTATTATTGACCAAAATACGGGCGCGAAATTTCCCGGGATGGGATGCCACATGCAATAGTTTTCAACATACGTTTGGTCAACCATGATTTTACCATTCCCTGTATCGAAAATTATCATTCTACCTCATATTTCACGATACGAATGTTTCGAACACGACGCAAGACCAACATCTAATCGCCGTATGTGGCAATATCCGTGGTGGAACAACGATAAGAGTGCTGAATCAAATATATGGAGTAACCGATACGCTGAGTCTTATCTAGGCGAGCGAGTCATTGATTTATCATGCGTCGAGTACTCGCTTCATACGATAATAACCGATAACGAGCTGGTAGGTAAATTTCTAGGTAACGGATCGATGATATCAGCTTTCGTTTCTGTTAGCACATAGTCGAAATGTCGATGTGTTATCGTGAATCAGCGGCGTAAAATTACACCGGAACCACGTCATCGTATGCGAAGCTTTAATAAGAAATTTGAATAAAAAAAAAGGCAAGTACATGTATCGTGCGCAGGCATGAAAAGAACAATTTTGTTGAAGAATCTAAAGAAGCTAAATATAGATCCAAAGTAAATTTTGTTAGACTATCAAAATAATTATGTGACACACAAACTGATTTGAGTATTAAAATATTACTCATGATGTTTGAGTTTTCTATATAATTTATACTTTGACAATCCAACAAAATTATTTTCAAATCTATAACTATCTAAATTTTTAGATACTTTAGGAAAATCGTTCTTTCCATGCAGGCGATTACACGATCCCAACTCGAAAGTTAATTTAATTTCATACTGTTGGTGTTAACGGTTGTTATAAACACACAAAATGCACACTTACGACGGCGAGATGTTGAAATGATTAATGCTTCCAGGCTAATATAAATGCTCTGGATCGCAAATAGCACTATGTCGTTTAATCTGAAACAAAAAGATGAATATCGTCAGTTTGTACATTAACGAAATATAGATAGATAACATTTCTAATATTAATTTATAATATAATTTATAATATAATTATGTCTATTTAGTTGCCATAATTTATCGCTGGCATTTTTAATCGACCACGTTGTAAATATCTAGATGTTATACACATTATAATTATTAATTATAAAATTAAATATTTTATTCTTATTAGTTCAGTATGTTATTCATTATAGTATGACTATTGTTTGCCTTTCATCTTGTGTTTAATCTTTTACATGTACCATTTATATATAATTCTATAATATTTTCCAAACCGTCGGACACACAGTCCGGATCATGACGCATGAATATCTGAATATGAAATATGTCCGATCGAAAATGGCTAATATAATTTTAGATCTTGAAAGCGAAGAAATATTAACCCTTACCGTATTAATAAACTAGTGACCGAGCGATTCATGTTCGTGCAAGTTTCTTTGAGTCTTTCGGTAATTATAAATTATACTACATTTTATTATTTTCCAAAATAAAGAGTCAATATTTATTCTAGAAAGTGTTGAAAGTATGTTGGTGAATTTTTAGAGATTTTTAAAATTATTTTGAAGAAGTAAAAAAACGAAGAGATTTGAAGTGACCCTTGATGATATGGATGAGGCACCAAATTGTAGATGGTACGATAAGGGTTAATAAATTCTAGCAGATACGAAATTTTCGTTACTAGTCGAGGAAACACTTGAACACAATACCAGTCTTTCTTTCTTCAAATACGATCGATCAGCACGTGATTCGTTCATAAAACGCACGCGAAATATCTTCTCGCTTTAAATTACGAGGAAAAGCAAATTCGTTCGAAGGTGCTTTCTATGTCATACCAAAACGCTAAAAAATATTGAAATTTCCGTAACATTTATTTGTCATACTTAAACAAAAGCAAGAATGACAAATGTAATGTCTATACGTGTATGTTTTCATACAAACACAATTTATAACTGAACATTGTACACAATAATGGCGGACGCAAGATATAATCGTATTAAATTTTGTAATTAAATAATAAAAGAGCCCACAACAGCTAATTAGTACTTAATAGCGAGATGGATTAAAATGCGCTTATGAATATCGTACGTGCCGGCATTGTTATAGCAAAATTATGTCCGCGCTGATCCAGAACAAATTAATGCCTCAAGCTCATCATTTTTAAAGCTCCATAAATAATAACTTCACTATCGATAACGCTAAATGAAATTGATATCATAATTAATAATCATAACTTTTTTCGAAAAAATTTACAACATTAGGAGAAAAAATTCTTGCGAATGAAAAATACAAGTTATATCTATATAATAAAAAGTAGATCGTTAAAATGGATGTATAATATATTTTTATATTGTATTAAAGATCTGTGTTAAGAAAATGTAACTAAATAATTCACATAACGTCAACAAACTAATTTATGATTATAATGTAATTGATTTTTAAAAAATCCAAACCTACAGCATTCAAATATAAAAGAATACGGTTATAAAGCAAAAGGCAATAAAGACGGAGGATTTAAACAAGATTATAGAGTATCGGATTTATCAAAAAATCATAAATTCTATATGTTAGCTTATACATTTATACGACTTGTAGAACAAAAAGTTTTTAAATGACAGAGATTATGATATTAAAGAAAATTTATAAGATTTTCTGACTATTTATTCAATTTATATCCGTATTCATCTATTCGATTAAATAATGGTAGTAATGTTTAAGATGTTAATTTATTTTGCCTTTGCGTGCGTGCATGCGTGCGTATATTAGAATTAATAAAAAGTAAATGTAGCACAAGAAAAATGATAAGTGTATATAGCGGTAGGCAATATATTTAATTTCAGAACACAAGATATATAATAAAATATTCATAAACAATGAACATTCAATATTCAAATTAACAATCTTTCAATTAAAAAACGCATGTGTTATAAATGATAACGCATTATATTCGTGCAATAAAACAGAACCAGCTATGTTGCACACACCAAATATTATAAAAATAAACAAACTTATAATAAACGGAATCGCATAATATACCTCGCAGTACAAACGATAGATAGTGCGAATAAACTGAGAATGAAATATATGTACATATAATGTGAAAAAATCAGTCAAAACAAATGCACATACACGTTTTTGCTGAAGCATCTAAATATTTAGCTAGATGCAGATCTAAAAAACATTTTGTTGGACCATTAATTATGTAGGTAATGAACATGATAAACAATGCAAAAAGTTTTGATATTCTAGCAACCAATTTGAGAACGTCTTATACAATTATTCTGATAATCAATAATAAAAGTTATGTATTTTACTTGTATCTAAATTTTCAAATACTTCAACAAAATCATTTTTTCCGTGTTACCAAGCATTGCGGTAATTCCAAGTTATGTACTGTTAACTAAAGTAAAACAAAATCGGTATCAAAACAAGAAATTCTAATTTTAAAAAATCAATAATTGGGTCAAATTATATAGTAGTCCATCGGGTCCAGATTGATTCACGTAAAATTAGAATACCTTTTAGTCCTGAATTAAACACAACAAAAAATAGATGTAATAAGCCTTAAGCTGTAAGAAATCAATTCAATCATAGTTGAGTATTTTCCTCATATTCGACTCACATTGGTCAATATTTTACAGCTTAAAGATTATTACATTTATTTGTGTTTCAGGAGTTATAATTAGCGACTTTCTCCAAATAACTCATCAAAATTTTTGATCTTGTGGAAATTCAGCAGTAGTTCTTTATTTATTATTTTATTGAGGTTAGTCTTTCTTGTTTTAAAATTTTTTGAAAGAAGATGTAAAAGTTTTCATAATTTATGCAATCCGAATGTAAGAGTAAATTTTAAGGTTATAAGAGTCATAGAAAATCCTTGGTATATAATATATATTATGCTTTTTTTTTAGTACAAAATACATTATGCACAAAAAATTTCCTGGTACTATGACTCTCATAACCTTAAAATTTTACAATCAGCAAGCATTTACAAAATATGAAATATTACTAGGGCAAAACTGTTCATTTCATGAGCAGTTGGCTTGCTTATTAATCAATTTAATATCCATTATTTGTTGTGTTTCTATTCAGTAACTGGATTCAAATTTTACGCAACTTTTGTATGCAGTAACTGCAAGCAAAGCGTTACATCCTGATAGGGATCCTAGTTTTCTTTCTCAGTTACTAGACAGAAGCACAGTATAAGTAAGAACAGTAGGTACACTCAGTTAAAAATAGTGGCGACCGTTCTGTACAATTCTGCACAATTTTCAACATGACGCACCAATCAGTTTCCCTATTCTCTAAGATTATTCTCAAATGTGCCGACACAAAGTGTACTTACTGTTCTTACTTACACTGTGGCAGAAGTTGGTGTAACTGTTTAGTAACTGCTCAAAAAATGCATAAAATTTCTCTACCAGGGTACTTTAAAGATTATTATAAAATTTATTTCAACTCTATATTATTATATATTATTAACGACATATTATATCATAAGAATTATAGTTAAAAAACAGAGAAAAATCGAATCGAGCGCGAATGCACTTTCTTACAATATTTTCCCAATATCAAGCAGGAAGTCAAGTGGAAAGTGCAATGAGGAACAAAAATGACTTTTAGGAACTTCAAAACGTATTCGGTCCAAAAGAAAATGCTCTGGATTGAAATTTGGATTGGCGGAACTTTGGAACGTTGCGTATGGAACTTTAAGCAGAAAGAGTGAATCGACATGTACCGAGAGAAAAAGAGAGAGAAAGAGAAGGAGAAAGAAAATATTCATAAATCTTTGCGATAGTTATGGCGAAGCGTGACTCCCGATATAAAGGAAGAAGGTTGAGGTTACAGATTGAAGTCATGAGGGACTGGATTTTGGTGGCGGCCGGCGACACAGACAACGGCTACGGACGGGATAAAGAATTCGGAATTCGATTCGACGATCATGTAAGTTTCCATGCGAACGAGCATACCGACGTCACGATTTGGATTCACTTCCATATATAGATGAAGCAGGTTCGGCAACGTTTCGAGGGGGACCGCGGATCTTATTGAAAGTTCCTACCCGTAAAGTCGGTCTCCGTTGACTGGCCTGGATACATGCTAGCAAAATCCCAGTTCTTCTATAACTGGAACAGGTAAAACCGAGAACAGCTCTCTCCTCCTTCCCTTCTACCCTTCTTTCCCGGGAGCGACGATCGAGTGCGATAAGGTTTGAAACGCATTGCTAACAAGTTCGCGTACCTGAGCAAAGTACTTTTGCCCCGTATTTGAAGAACTCGCCCCAGTAACGTTCCTTCCAGTTAAAATTAAGTCTTTTATTATACATAAGTCCAAATGCATATTATTATTATAGTATGTGGTTATTCCTGTTCTCTTTTTCATACATTATCAGCTCTATAACAGCCGACTTCTTAATAAATAGATATTTTTTTCTAGTATAATTATATTCTTTTTTTTTTAATATACTATAATCATGTATATATCACAAATTAAAAAAATGTATAAAACCAATTATATTACAAAATAAATCACTGGCTTCTTTTATCTATCAAAATGGTGTAAGTTAAGCTACTTTTCCGTTTTTTTCTATATCTTCCTTCTAAAGATAGTTTATGAAATTTATGACACAATTTATAAAAATAAAATCGGACATCTATCATATACCTATGTACATCACGTGTGCTATAAAGATACGAGAATCTAATCAAATTTTGGTTAAGGAAAAGTTTCCTCAGAATTAGTTGAAGGAGCAATAAATAGAACATGACACGATATAGAATATTCTTATCCCCCACTCCATCATACTTTCGCCATCGCAGCGCTCTTCAGTGTCCTAAAAGCCTTAGTAGCTATCGATTTTACGATTTAGGCAAAATTCATTCTGTCCCAACGACGCTGAGTATATTTGCGCGATCGGGCATGCGCCATATAAATAAGGTCGGATCGATAAGCCATGC